TGTCTAGGAGGGAAAGCTCGAGTTCGAGAGCCAGGAGGTGTCCGAGGGGCTGTCGCACCGAGTGGCCACGTGCCAGGTGTATTAGATACCTCTTGGTTCTCTATGCTTCTTCCTGGCGAAAGAGAGCTGGGCTCTGCTAGCCATACTCATCCGAGCCCACCAACATGAGCTTCCTTCTACTTAGGAAAGAAAGTAGAATATCAAATCCAAAACCATCAGTGAACAGAGAAGACCAGGGAACCAGGCACCATGTCTCTTGGGAGGAAAGTTGGAATCTGGGAAGGCTTCACAAAGGTGATGACTTTGAGCTGGGCTTTAAAGATTGATTTGTTTTTTTTCCCTTCTGGATTCTGAGAGACTACATTAGAGTTTAGATTATATCTTGAGAAGTGGTAACAACCAACACTTGAACTCAGGTGTTGACTATTAAGCCAAACAGACTTTATTATATCTATTTTTTTTTAAGTTTTATTTATTTATGCATACAGAACTGTGATGCAGGCCAGAGGTGCAGGGGCGGTGAGAGGATTCACCGGAGACTGAGTGGGGAGCAGAATTGGCAGACTGAGGAAGTACCCTGCTGAGGGGAGCAGCGGGAGGGCCAGGAGAAGTCTGGCAGCCCCTAGGGCCACCTCCAGACCTCCTGGGAGTGGGGGGGGGGCTGGGGATTGACTAGCTCTGAAGGGCCTAGGGCTGGCTTGCACTTTAACTGTTGGAGGGCCTTGGGCCCTAATACATCTTCTTTTTAAAGATTTATTTGTTTATGCATACAAGAACTCAGATACAAGCCAGAGGGGTGGGGGTGGGACTGAGGGTCAGGGAGGGCTGGCTACAGTATTCACCAGAGAAAGAATAGGCAGATTGACTAAAATACATTATTGAAGGTGTTACAGGGTAGCCCAGAGTCGACAGGGCCGCCTGTCTGTGGGGCCTCACCCTCTCACTCACACCTCAGTTACACTGCAGGGACACACAAAAGGGTCAACAACGGGTTTATTTACAAGAGGGGGAAGGAATAGGAAACAACACAGGGAAAGAGCAAGAATTCCTTTAGGACATCCTTCCCCTTAACAAGGGGAGCAGCTGGGCGACAGGAGAGGTCTGCTGTGCCATGTGGGTCACCTCCCTGGCCAGGGATGGAACTCATGCTGCAGTGGCTGTGGATGGTCTCGTAGGGTTATGTTTCTTTTTTTAAGGTTTATTTATGCATACAGAACTGGGGTACAGGCCAGAGGTGCTGGGGCAGTGAGAGGATTCACCAGAGACAGTGGGGAGCAGAACAGGCAGATCAAAGCAGTACACTGCAACAGTGGTGGTGGATCAGGAGTGGTCTGCCTCTGCCACACCTTGTGGATCACCTGGGTGGTGGGGCCTGGGGGCTGATCTCTCACTTGAGGCAGCTTTGACCATCCTACAGTGCTGTTGTCCTAACCCATTGCACCACCAGGGAGGGTCCTATTATAATTATATCTTTGTTGCTTGGGATTTGCCCAAATTCCAGCACCAGTGCTCTCTTAGAAGTAAGATATTTGGATCAAGATCTTGTAGTCTTGCATCAAAATAAATATGCATGTTTTCCTCTTCCATTTCTGATCTTGTAGTAAAAGCATACACTCAGTCTTCTTTAAGGAAGTACAGGATCTAGACAGAAGGCTAGGTTCACATCCTACCTTGCTGGTCATGAAAACTTGGACTGCCCTCTGAACTTCTCTGAGCCTCAGTTTCCTCAACAGTAAGTGGGACACCACTACTTGCCCTGCCCAGGCATGAGCACCTTCTTATCAACAGCCAAGGCATGTAGTTTCCCCATTGCCCTTCCTATCGGTTGCTGTCCTGATGTCTGTGGCAGTGCATTTCACAAGTTTTGCCTTTATTACAGTTTGGCCTCTGGACATCATTTCCCCTTGTGATAGGAGTCCCTCTGGTCCAGTCCACAGGCACTCCAGGCCCCAGGCTGCTGGCACAGTGGGGCACTCTACAAAGTCCTGTTGTAATAAAAGCCCTGCATGCCCTCAGCCACAGACTTGTCGATTTGTTTCAATAGCAAATCCAAACTTGTTGCAACAGAGCACTAGATTCCAGTTGATGTTTACGTTAAGATGCATTCCAGGTTGAACTGCAATGTAATAGTCCAAATTCTGTCAGGCAGATGGGAGAGAATCTTCTCATTGTTTATTAAAGATGTTTTAGTAAGTTCAGTATCACACTAGATTTCCTTTGAGTGTTCAGACTGGTGTTAGAGATATGTACACTTGTAGTGCAACAAACATGTTTTGAAACTATTTTCTGTGGCCCTCCCTGGTGCTGCAACGGGTTAAAGCACAGCATTATGCACAGCCACTGCAGCACAAGTTCCATCCCCGACCAGGGAGGTGACCCACATGGCACAGCAGACCTCTCCTGTCTCACCCACTGCTCCCCTCAGCAGTGTATTTCAGTACTTAAATGTGTTCTGCTCCCCACTCTGTCTCTGGTGAATCCTCTTAACTCCCGCCCCCACAACTCTGGCCTATACCCCAGTTCTGTATGCATAAATAAATCTTAAAAAAACATCTTATTTTCCAATTTACCATGCTCCAATTTAATTAAAATTAAGAGTCCTATCTGTATCTCCACTTTGTTGCATCATAATAGCCTGTTTAGAGGTGGCAATAAGGCTTCTACATTCTTTTTGCTACAAATCTCTTGGGCCTGTCATTTGGTCCACCATGCAGATGCTGATTGCAATAAAACAACCTCAGTTCCCTTTGTCCCAGCGATCTCCCAGGCCTTGGTTGCAATTTAATATCGAAGTTCTCCTTACAATAACATCATCAACCAACTCACAGCTGCCCCTACCAACCAAGCCAAGAGCCTGAAAGGGTCAGTTACATGGTCTGCTTGAGCCTGCTTCCCCTGGGATTCAGGTCTAACTTAGGCTTTGCTGACTTTGATGTGCAAGCAAATCACCTGGGAATCCTCTTAAAAAGCAGATTCTAATTCAGTGGATTTAGGGAGTCTGTATTGCTAACAGGCTCCAAGGTGCTGCTGCTGCTTTGAACTAGCATTTGCATGGTTAGGGGCTGAAAAAGACAGGTCAAGTTCTGCCAGACAGCTTGAAAACAATTCACAGATTCTCCATAAAATGATTCTGTTGATGCTGGTGTGGGATTCTGCAGGTGTGTGAAAATTATCGGATAGGACAGAGATCAACGGATCTGGATCTTAAAGCAGAGAGGACTTGTGGGTGCAGGCATTAACCTTGGCTCTAGGGTTCTGAGACGAGTCTCTAAAGGAGCAAGGTCAGGGGAAATGGCGGTGGGCCTATTTCCATCAGGAAAGGAGTTGATACAGCCTCGGGAGGGAGTTCTGGAGGAAGGAGTGACAGGCGTTAGTGGGAACAGCCTGGGTTTCTCTGTCAAGGGATGTGGGCTTCAATCTCGCTGGCCATTTGCTGGCTTTTGGCAAGTGACTTAACCAGAATTTATGAGCATAAGTTTCTCTCATTGTAAAAACTGAAATGCAAATAGCTCCCTTATGGGATGGTCATGAAGTGTAAAGGAGATTATCTGTACAAAAGCCTCGCCTCACCGGCACATTGGGTTCAGCCAAGGACATGTTGACTTGCTTCCCTTTAACTTCTGAGAGTCTTCACTTTAGTTGAGAGGCCGGGGGTTGGCTCTGTCTCCAGCACCTACTCTTGGTGCCATCTTGCCACCCTGCTTCCGCCTCTGGAAAATGGTGCAGACAATGGCTTGATTAGGCTAGGAGTTTTCAAAACAACCTCCCCAATGCCCCCTCCCATGAGTACTACCCAAATTAAAAAGCCCCATGGTTAAGAGCTACAGGAGTCTGAGTACCTGCCTCACTGCTTACTTACTGGGTCATTTCAGGAGAACTACAGTAGTCTCTTTCATTTTTTGTTGTGGAAGTCCAAGGACATTTATTATTCACCTATGTAGATGAGATCTAAAAAGTTCCAGCATCAACTCATCACCTCAACTGTCATGCGGTTGGGGGATTAGTATATCTGTGAATCTGAGTCTCAGTTTCCATGTCTGATCAGTGGGTTATGATGAGGACTGGATGTATTAATGTATT